TTGGTTTGCTTTTTCCTTTCAGGGTGAGGATTTTTGAGCTGCTGTGCTAGAGGGAGGGCATGGGAGGATACATGTGCTTGTTCATCCTGTAGGTTGTATGCTGTACAGCTCTGAGTGGGAAAGAGATCTGCCCCAGGCTTCATGTCTGCAATAGTAAGGAAGAATTGCTGAAATAAAGAATGACTGACTCCCTGCTTTTCAGTTGGCCTGTCACTGGGAGAATCAAGAAGCAGGAAGAACTAAACTAGAAATATGCAAAACTTGCAAGCCTGCCATGGGGCAGAGAGCTGCTTTAAAGCTAGCTGGTTTGCATGAAGCTAGCCTTGGTAGCTGGGGATCCAGCTCTGGTTTTCCTGTGGCACTGGTTATGGGTGACTCTGGGTTACCCAGGAGCAGGCAGAGGTTTGTTAATGGTTCAGGCTTTATTCTTTTGCTACCTGCAGATGCTGCCAATCACAACTCAATTTTTCTGTGTCAGTTTTCTGTTTGTCTGGGCCAAGAAGCATTTGTCTTCTCTTCCATGAGTACCACTACTGAATGATTGATGAAGCTGATTTCAAAGCCTCCTAAGCCACAAAAGCAGCCTTGGTTTGTTTCAATAACCTTGCTTGGCTAATGGAGGAGAGGTGTGAGAGGGAAAAGAGTTTGCTTTATGGCAGAATTTCCAAGACCCAGTCCAAAACCAGAAGCGGCCTTGGGATCTTGCTCCTTTTTGTCAGTCTTTCCTTCCCTGTGTTGTTCTTAGCACATTGAGAGCTGGAGCAGCTGCAAACTCCTTTGCCTCGCTTTGTTCCCTCTGCTGCCCCCATGGTCACCTCAGCTTTCCTGAAACAAGGGGTTAGGTGCAGATTAGAGCAAGCCCATGTAGCCTGAAACATTCCCCACTCTGAGACAATTTTCAGACCTTCCGTGCATCTACTTTTCCTGATGTTTGTGACATTGGTTAAGGCACTTCTGGTACTTTGTGTCTCATGAGGATCTAGGGTGGCAATATGAAATCTATATAACTGCTCCCAGCACACAGACCATGTGTGTTTGCATAGCAGAGGCCAGAAACTCAACACACACTATAACTTCTGGGCTCATAGCCTCATGCTGCCAGGGAAGCCATTTTTGTCAGGCTTTAGTCTGGAGCTATGGGTACAAGAGCAATAGGAATGTTATTGTGAAGACTTTTGGTTGTTTGGGATGGATCCTTGCCACCTTTTAACCTTGCACTGACTCTATAATGGGGCATTTGGGCAGCTAGGTTCCTGGACCCAGAGCTCTAACTCTCTCTCTCCCATCATTTTTCCCTTTAGGCATCACTGGAAAAGACGGTTCCAGGCCTGGCAAAACTACTGGTCTTAGGAGATCTCTGAGTAACATCCCTGCCACAGCTCAGTAGTACGCCACCTGTTCGTGTCCTGCTGCAGCCAGAGGACTGGAAAGCAAACAGGATTTTTAATGTCATATTTCAAATTCTTCCTTTGTGATAATTTTGGCCAAGCTTTCTCTCCTGTTGTCTGCTGGCTTACCCCAAGGATCCAAACAGGGACTTAGGGGAAGGAATGGCAAATGCCTTGTCAGGAAGATGCCTTTCACAGTTTGTAGTGTATCTTTTGTGAGGATGTTAATCTTTCTTAAAAATACTTGGATAACAGGATAATATGGTGCCTTGCCCTGCCATGAACAGCAATAGTTCAACAGAAAGATAGTGTGGACTCAGTAATGCAGATACAGTAAAGAAAACCGACTTACACAGCTAATTGCTGAACTTGATATATCATACCACCTCTGGTAGATTGATGGAGCAGTCCCAAGAGTTAAGTTTTGCTCAGTTGCCCATAGGGATTGCATCTGTAAGACAATCTCTGAGTCCTTTCTTTACTGTATCAGAAGGCAAAACCTTCATGCCATTTCCAGCTTACCTAATGCTGTTGCTCAGTAACTTGGATGCTTTAGAGGAAAGTTCACACCCTGATGTCTTGGGGATTGATTCTGAAATCTATATCCTAGCATTATCAGCTCAGGGCCATCTCCTGTTAACTAGCTTTTGGCCTGGTGGCCGTCCCCCTGAATTTGATAGCAACTCTGAGTGCACAGTGTTTACAAGCTTAGTCACAGCCACTGGATTTCATCACTTCAAAGGAGTTACACAAAGAACCAGTTACACAAAGGTTGCTTCCTTGCAGAGCCGCAGGATTCCATTTAAATTAGTTGTATCTTCAGTCCATAATGTGCGTATGTGGGGTCCTCTAGTGTTGCAGCTATGCAAATAAAAGCTTGCTGATACAGTTTAGTTTGGGGAGACAGCAGTAGTCGGTTGGGCTGAGATTGTTGCTGGCTGCTATCAGCCTCACATTGTATGCAGATTTGTGCTTTCGGTGTCAGAGCTGATCTTGCTAAATTCTGAGGAACTGGGGGTATTTCCAATATCCATTTGCAAACAGTGAAATCGCAGTGGTATTTTCCATTTTGTGGATGCTCTGCCTGACTATTAAAGGGACAAAGTGGGTATTTCAATTATCTTTGACAAGATGTAAAATTGGCTAGCTTTACAGTGTTAAATATTTAAACAGAACACAATTGGGTTTAAATTTATGGCAGTGCATAGCAGAAACCCATGAAATGGCAGTATATATTGAGCTCATTTGTTATCCTTTCATCAGAGGTCTGTTCCCTCAGCAGGTATTTATTTAACACAAGAAAATGTATGCAGAATTAAGAGGAATGGCTGATTGGAGAGAGATAATACAGGGGGGAAAAAAAGGTTTTTTTCCTTCTAGGTAATTTTCTCCAGTCTGCCCAGTTTAGTAGTGATCAGAGTCCTGATCCTGTTAATTCTGTGTGTTGTCTGGTTTGCCCTAACAGTAGTTTCTTGTGTATGGAGTTCAGTGGTCTCAGCA